CCGGTGTGACCCATTGTGTATTGCCTCAATATCTCGGCTAGACCTAAGTTGGTGCCTAGCCGATTGTTCAATTCATGAACACCGTTGATAATTCTATAAGTGTTGGTGGACACTTGGGTAGGTGCCAGCCCGGTGCGGCGAAGGAACTCGGTGATAAGTGGGTTTAGTGGAAAACGGAGGCCCCCTTCGACAATTGACAGCATGGTGAAGGGGCATTGGTCTAGTCTGCCCCAGGGTGTTGTCTCTTCTTCAGCCAGTTCGAGATGGACGTCGGCCGGGATGCCGTACTCCTCTCTGAATGCAGCCAGCGCGGCCGGAGTATCCACTAGGAAGCGGAATTTCCCCATTTGTGGCCGGACTGAGGTAGCTCGGCTGAGGTGTTTGGCACGGTGACAATTGGTAATTGCTCGGTCTTGAGAGCCTGAGGAATGGATAGTGGTCCCCTTGGACTCTGCAGGAAAAGGATGGCAAGTGTAAGTGTGAGCTCGATCTCGCGGAAGGAGCTGGACTTTAGCTCGGTCATTGAGGGTGCCAAACCACCTCGGTCTTCTAAGCTAATTAAAGAGCTCGGTCGCCCAGACAGGCCAGTTGTTAGCCCGGTTGAGCGACCATTTCCTTTTGTTATCTCGGTTTTTGCTGGGGTTGAGACAAACATATTATTTGCTCGGTTAGATGGGGTTTTTGGATCAAATGAAGACCAGGAGCCCGGTCCGCCCCAGTTCTTCAGTGTTCTTCAGGAAAATAAAGAACACCAAGAACAGTGGGAGGTTTGGGACGGTTTCTATGGCCTATGCCCTAAGAGCTACGTTTTAGTACCCTAATGTGTGTAATATTAAAGAAAATAGCAACAAAAGAGGGATCGAAGGACTTACCAGTGAAGGGCAGGAACTGTTCCCTCGAACACGAAGAATGGCAGACGAGGCTGGGAGAGAGTTGCTTGAGCTCTGAAGCGTAGGGTTGAAAAGAAGTAGTAGGAGCGAGTTGAGTGAGAAGAGGTCCTGTATGTATAGACTAGAGAGAGACCGCCCAAATTCAAAATTCTGGCAAAAAAGGCGGGCTGGCTGCTCGATAACCAGTGGCAGCCCGCCACGTGTCCCCATTTATGGCGACGTCAGGACTGAAGCGACGGGTTGAAGAGTCGAAGAGCCAACCGGGCTACTTGCGAAGAAAAGGACGCCCGCCGAGGAGTATAACCGGGCAAGTTTGCAGACAGTCATGTTAACTAGCCCGGTCGCCCTTTGGCATCCTGAAGACCAAAGAAATATTATCTCGGTCGAAGTGAGTAATCCCAGTCACACTTTCGCGGACGGAATTAAGGGGCAATTGAGAGGGTGATTTATGATCTGGAACTGGGCCGAGGTAACGGCCGAGCAGGTCGAGAGCCCAACGGTGCATGGGGCCGAGATGATCGACTATCCGCCCGGAGATGGGCTGCCAGAACTTGGGCCGGGCAGAAATTGGGCCAAGTGTGTGCCGCCTCAGACCGTAAAGAAGCTGCTCGGCAAGGCAATGCTCGGTTGGACCGAGCTGCTTGATCATGGGGATGGCTGAAGCCAGACAAGCTGAGTGACCGGCGCCCGGAAAGGTATGGTCAGCCGAGGTAACCGTTTGATCGACAGAAAGGCCAATCACAGGAGGTGCCCCGGGCTCGGCTTTGCCGAGATGCCGCCTAGCCCGGTCCTCCCTGGGCCTAGCCAGTGAAGTGCTTGGGTATGAAGCACAGCACGGCCGTGGATAGAGAAGTTCGGCTGCAGAGCTCCAACTGAGAGGGGAGGCAGTTGGGATTAGGTGACGTTCAGCAAGGTTTATGCTGACAGATGGGATAGCAGAGCCACGTGTCGGGAGATGACTAGGAGTGGATATGAAGCGCAGAGGGTATATAAGCATGTCTGCGCCTCCCATACGGGACACACGAACATTTTGGTAAAGAAATTCTTACACTCAAACGCTCCTCTCTCTCTCTATCCTAAGGTGTGTGCTAACTTGACCGTCGGAGGATTTTTTCGGCCACACACCGCCGGGTAGCTCACCCTTATTGGCTCGCAGGTGATCGGACAGAGACGGAGCTCAGAAAAAAAGAGTACGGACTTGTCAAAATATTTGCTCCCCGTACAATATTTACTTGACATATTTATTGGTAAGTTTCCACAAGACTTGACTTTAACGAGTTGTGGCTGAACCAATCACACAATAAGCTCGACTGAAAAACAAGGACAAATTGTGGCTTTGACCAATAACACAATAAGCATGGTTTGAAAAGTTAGATATTTTAATATGTTATTTTAGTTTTTTTTATTATTTTAATAGATTAAAATTTTTGTATTTTAAAAAATAGTTAGATTTTTTATAATTAGATATAATATTTGTGAGAAAAAAATAAAATAATTATAAATATGATATGATATTTTATTTTATTAACTATTTTAATATATTTTATTTTTATGTAATTTTAAGTCAAAAAAATCTCCAAACCCAACTTGCCAAACACGGCCTGAAAATGGCAGTATTTGGGTTCCAATAGCGACTAATAAATTTTTTTTTTTGACTTGGAAGTCGGTATGGGAACAGGATAACTATACTTCTCGTGCGGCCTCCAATCAATTAGGGGGATTGGGTTTGTTTTCAGAATTTATTTTTAAAAATCTTAAAAATTAACTTGGGAAAAAAATAAAACAAAATTTAAAAATACTTTTCATTTTTTTTAGTCTGCGCAAAAATAATTTTTGAAAATTAAAAAAAAATGTTTAATTTCACCAAACTAGTGTTCAATATTTTTCACCAAAAAAATTAATATGAAAATAAAACCAAACAGGTGCAATATCTCAAAAAAAAAAACTCAAGAATTAGAATCTTCTCACTAAATCACTTCTAAGTCTTATTTCCAATATATTTGTTTAGATTTTTCTATTTTATTTTGAGAATTTCTTTGTATTAATTATATACTATATTTAATCTCCACTATGATTGCAATTTTTAAACTTTATTAAACCATGATACATTAAAACTTTATTTTTATTTTTTATTTTTTAGAAAAGATGTCTCTAATCTTAATTTTCCATAATATACTAAAATTGCGCAAGTCACCATTATAAAAGTAATTTTAGTTTATGGCACTTAGATCATAAATTCGATTTTGAAATTTTTGAGACAATAGTCTCAAACTCTAATTTTTTGGGACCATAAGGACTAATAATTTGAAACATCACATTACTCCTGTCAATTTGTCTATTAATCTACCTATCTATCCATGTCACATATTTATTCATATGTCATCTATGAGTTCACCTATTTATCCATATGTCACCTACTTATTTGTCTATGTATTATTTATTTATTCACGTAATCTGCCTATTTGTTCATATTACCACTGTCACTAGCCGTTCCCGACCACCTTCAGCAACTTTTTCGACAATAGCGAATTTTTCAATTGATTGGCAGTCCGGTGACAATAGGGTAAAAGTAGAAGGGAAAAAAAAAATCATACAAAACAATAATTTACTTTTCTCACCAAACAATTTCATTAATCACATCCATACAATCGAAAACAAAATAATCCTTAAACCTAATTATCATGCACACCCATAAAAATAGAAAAAAAAAAACTCTAAACATACATAAAATCCATATAAAAAACTTAATAAGCATGATGTGACATTGCCATTTTGTTTTTGGTTTTACTTTTCTCCTCTCCTAAAGTTTGTTTAATGAATTTCTCCTCCCTTTCTTTGCAAACAAACAAACAAAAAAAAATAAAAGAAAATCTCACTGTTGCTTCTTCTTTATTTATTTATTTTTGCTCATGAGGGCATTTCCCGTATACATGTAATTTTCCGTTATACATACATTTGATAATTATCGACCTAAACTGGGTGGCCTCAATACATCAAAGATATCACAATGCACATAACAAAATAAAGTAAAATAGGAAATTCTTGACAACAGTAAACATAAGCTTCTAAAATCAACTTGTCTAGCTCAAGAAACAATCACAAAGCAGCATTCCAAGAAGAAACACTACATAAATTATGACAGGCAAATAAATACTAACAAGTGCCATGGGCCTTGTTTAATATTTGGATTTGTGTAAAATGTGATTTGAAAATGGTCACCAAAAAAAAAAAAATTAAAACGTTTCAAATTCAATGAAACATGTTTGAAATTAGTGGAAAATATTTTTTATTTTTTATTTTTTCAGTCATTTTCTCGTGGCCCAGAGACATTTGTCATCAAGACCCATTATGAAATAAAACATCACGGGAAAGCCTCATTTTTTATTTTTATTTTTTTGAACAAGGAAAGTAATACAAGAGAGCCAACAGGACCGCCTCGTTTGGCAACACACTATTTTGTCTGAAAGCTAAAAAAATAAATAATAAATAAAAACTAATAAATTATACCCAAAAAAAAGTCAAAATTTTCATTATCTCTCTACTTTTTGTACTTTTTTAGTAAAAATCCAAAAAAAAAATTATCCCAAAATACTATTTTTTTTTTTACCTCAAATTTTAGATCAGCAATGTTATATGGGACGAAACGTTGGACAATTAAGAACCAACGTGTAGATAATATGAGTGTTGTTAAAATGAAGATGCTAAAGTAGATATGTAGCAAGATTAGAAAAGACAGAGTTAGGAATGAGTATATTCATGAATGGGCAAGAGTAGTACCAATAGAAGATAAACTGAGAGAGAAGAGATTGAGATTATTTGGTCATAGACAACAGAAACCAACAAAAGCAGTAGTGAAAAAATGCGATGCAGTGACGGTAAAGGGAAGTGGAAGGGACAGACCTAAATTGATGTGAACTAGTGTAAGAAATAGATATATGAATCTCTTTAATTTAACTAACTAAATAGTCTTTCATAGAGTTGAGTGAAAAAGAAAGATTTATGTAACCAACCTCATTTGACTAACTAAAGCTTAGTTTGCTTTGGTTATTTTAGTAAAAAAATTAAAAAATTACTAAAATAACTTATTCCCAAACAATAAAAGACGGAACAGACCAAAATAGAATATTTCCCTTATATATCATCTATCACACCATCAAGGTACCAATAACAATGCAAATACACAAATGCAGAGCAAATTACAACATATAGCATGACAGCATTCAATTGGGGCAAAGTGAGAAATACAATGATGTGCAAATATCAACATTTACCATGACAAGCATTCAATAGCAACCAACTTGTAACAAATTCACTCTTACTTGGCCATCTCAGTTGAAGCCTCTGACTCATCTATGCCGGAGCGGGCAACAAGCCTCTCAACCACAACTTTAACCACATCGCGTCGTACTCCAATATCAGAAACAAAACGGCTAACACAATACATAGTACAACCCACAGTGACCAGACCAGGAAAGCTGGTCGTTAGGAAGCGAAGTGGTGAAGAAACGATGACAGTAGTAGCAGCTACAAATGATGTTGCCTGTCCACTCCGACCCACTGAAACGTTACTGAAGACAAGTAAACCTGTCTTACAGTATATTGCAAAATCCTCACAGTTGTTCTTAAAGATGTTGTAGACGCCAAATCCATTATTCAGTAAGAATTCAGCACGGTGAAGGACATCCTCTGGTGGGTCAGAAGCGGCAAGGGTGCATGTCCCTCCTCGAGCTTTGGCAAGAAAGAAAGCTGGTGAGACAGCATACTCAAAGCGGTAGAGTGCACCACCACAAAGAAAACAATCGATGCAAGAACATATAACACCATCAAGCCTTGATTGATCACCGCATTGTGGGCATGGAGCGTCTAGAGGATGAGATGAAGATGAGCTGAAAATTATGCGGTCTAACGGTGTTCCTGTGCCTATCTCGTGGCCAGCCCCACGAGTGAAGTGTATCACCTTTCCATCACCACAATATATACCTGGTGTTTGATGGCAGACATGTTAAAAAAGCAATGGTGAGAATTTCAGGATAGGGATAATATATTATGTTAAAATTAATCAAATTTTTAATATATCGAAGTAAAGGACACTTAAAGAGCATAAATAAGAGAATAATGTAGGGGGCTTCAAAAGAAAAAGACTATAAAACCCATGCCCAAAGGCCGCCAAAACTATATGTTTATTTTATTTTCAAAGAAAGATGATCTTTATCAATAATCTCCTACCCATATGTTGTGCACCCAGACTGATGTCTTCCCCAATTGGCTAGTAGGACCAAGAAGGCCCCTTAAGGCTTGGGGTAATGTGACTCTAGTGTGGCCTAACAGCTATGTGATAGTCCTTTCTGGGACGTGGGAATCATGTGCTTTGGTGGCTAAAGAGTAAATTATGAAAGAGGCATTGACAGCCTCTTAACATGATTTCTGTTTTTTTTTTGAATTTTGAATTTTGAATTTTGGATAACTGAATGCCCGAGCCAGCTTGCGCGCACCTCAACCAATCTTGGTCTGACAGTTAGAGAGGGAATCTTGACAGGTGATCCTAAGCCACACAGGATTACTATTTGATCATTTGACCCCAAGCGAGCCAAGGACACCTATAAATCTCCCTTCCATTTACGTAGGTTTGATTTTGGAGTCATCTCGCTAGGTGATGCATATTTGGGATATGGTTAATATTTCAAAGGTTGCTGGTAGATTCAAAAGAGGCAATATGAGTCTAGAAGTGGTAGGTTCACCTTGAACCAAAGCACTTAGTTAAACCTACCTAATTATACCTAATTATTTCATGTCTTCATTCACTATGCCTTTTTTAAGTGGTATTCAAATGGATACAAAGAAGGTTTCGTTGGGAAGGGATGAAATAGTTGTTTAAATGCCATTTAAGGGATTAGGACACGGTAATGTACTGCTATTAAGTTGGTGGTATGAAGATATGGAGAACAGAAATTTCAATCAAACCTTCCTAGCAAATGATTTTGGATATACGCATGTGAGCATGATATATTTTCAAAGGTAGTAGGCAGGTTCAAAGAGGCCATATTTGTCCCCCAAAACAGAAAGGTAGGGTCAGCTTCATCAAACACAATTTATTGAGCCCACCAATTATTTCAGGTCATTATTCACTACAACTTCTTTAATGGCCAAGAGACTCAAAAGGATGCAACGGGGCTTTTTTTTTTTCTTTTTTTTTTTTTTAAGGAATATAAGAGAAATTTAAATACCATCTAGAAAAGACAATATGCATTCCCATTAGGAAAGGAAGTTTGGTGATATGGATGTTGGCAGTCTTTAATCAAGATCTTCTGGATAAATGGCTTTGAAGAAGTGCTTGTAATAAGAAAGATAAAATTTGGTAGATGACTATGACTGAAATATGGAAGTATGTTGATGTGAACTGGACTTCTTTAGTGTTCTCTATGTCTTATAGCAAGGGTCTTTGCAAGGAAATTGAACAGGGTTCAGATGATTTTTGTGAGACACGAGGACGAGCTTTTGCAGCTGTTTATGATGTGGGGAGAAGTTTGAAATGAAATTTCCTTTTTTGGTTTTTTTTTTTTTTTTTTTTTTGGATTTGATAGAGATGCATACGTGGGAAAATAACTTTGGACAAGGGTAATCTCACTGTTTTAGAAGAGAATAAATTAATTGCAGAGTTGATTGGTCGGGCTCCATGGAATTTTGTATGGAATTTCTCGAATAGGTAAACAGGATGACCTCATGAGATGTAAGATGTAAAGAACACGGTGTGAAATCTTTCCATGAGGCTTCGATAAGTAAGAGAGGCTCTCCTTTCCTTGCAAAAGGGAAGCCTTCAAATGTGCCTCCTAAAATTTCCCCCTTGGAAGGCAGTCGATGGAAAGATCCTTAGCATTGATTATTTGCATAGAAGGCAACAAATCTTTGTGAATTGGTGTTGCATGTGCAAGCTACACCAATTCGTTGCAAAGTGGTAAGGGAACTTCAGGGCAGGGATGCTAAACATGTTTGGGCTTCATTACTGTATAGTAGCGTATTATTAATGTTTGGAGGGGAGGAAGAATATTGGAGAGAACGAAAAAGGCATGGATTTGTGTTTGATGTAAACCATTTGGAGCCTTTGAGGATTATTTGGGCAAAATCTCTCTAAGTTGAAGAGTATAATTTTGACACTATGATTAATATATATTTGGGAATTGTTAATCCATCCCCAGAGTCAACTCATCCCTGGATCAATTATTGGATTTTGCATAGTCAACCCATCCCTAGACCAATTGTTAGGTTTTGCAGAGTTTTTTTAGTAGAGAAGTCTCATATTGGATGTTTTGATAATTTGTTTTGGTTTTGTTAATTGTATATAGGTGGTGTGCTCTTGGTGCCTTGTTTATTTTACCTATAAAACAGACAAATAAATAATTGGCAAATTACACCTTACACCCATCCCTAGACCAATTGTTAGGTTTTGCAGATTTTTTTAGTAGAGAAGTCTCATATTGGATGTTTCAATAATTTGTTTAGGTTTTGTTAATGCGTGCTCTTGGTGCCTTGTTTTGGTTTTGTTAATGCGTGCTCTTGGTGCCTTGTTTATTTTACCTATAAAACAGACAAATAAATAAATGGCAAATTACACCTTACACAATTGTTACATTTTAACACGACAGATCTTCTAATTCATTTCATTCTCAACTTTCAATTAACCTTCCGTAATGAAAGAGGATAGAAAAATGTGAGTTGCACACACTGAATTTATGACCAAAATGTTCGTTCAAGAGCTGATTTATATACATATATATGTGAGAGATATGTATCCCCTCTCCTATGAAGAAATATGCGAGAAAAAATTATATATGCATGTTAATTTTATGACCAAAGAGGAAGATATATACATAAATCTATCATATACATATAAACTAAACGTTGCATCTGCATTTTTGTCATAAAATTGGCATGTACAGCTCACACGTGACTTTTATGTCCTATTTCATAATAGAATGTTAACAAAAGATTGAGATTAAAACAAATTAAAAGATTAGGTGGCAAAATGTAGCAATTTTTAGTCAAGGGGATAAATTGACAACAACCCATAGTTAAAAGGGATAAAATATAATTTCCATAAATAAATAAACTTTGGAGTAATTCTGGTATAGTTGGAAATTTTGTGCACTCACATCCAACCCAGCTAGGTGATATTATTTGACTTCTACAAGTAACAAACATCTCACAAGAAAATTTAAGTCACAATTATATATACACACGCATATATATACATATATTTAAAAAGAAGGGAAGAATATCCACATTCAAACACAAAGCATCCATCAACGATAATGGAATTCAGGTAGTGATAACTTGAGCAATATTCAGGTAGTGATAACTTGATAACAAAATATGTCATCAACAATATTTGACTCGCTAACAATTATTTGAGATTTAGCAACACATCATGTGATAATCGTTCTGGATGGCCTAAATGAGATCAATATTTGGATCATTAAAAGAAAGTAAAACACGAAGTGTGCCCCTGCTAGCTTCTTCGTTCAATAGTAACAGGTTCCCTTTGCCCTGCTAGATCTCTGTAAAGATCTTGGAATCCAGTGAAATGATGTGGATGGAGAGCTAAGTTAAGGATATTCATTAGTAGAGAGAATTCAGGTAACCAATATCTTAAGCAAAAAAGGCAAGGGTTGCGTGATACAATAATACTCAAATAGCATGCTTGCTCAAAAAGAGAACAAAATGGTGGTTTTAGAAGACTAGAACTAATATTGAGTGCTAAACTCTAGTGGCTCACTCAGAAACCTAAAACCCCTGAGCAAACAAATCCATCTCTCAAAATGTTTCAAGAGCCTTTCCCTCAATAATACAGTTTTTTGAAATGCGTTCTTAGGTCATCTCCAACGCTGTAAAAACTTCATTTGATAATTGATATGGCCCCATTTGGGGACTTGGGTTGATAGCAAAAAAGCCACCATCACTCTCTCAACTTTCCACACGTTTTTTCGTAAAAAACCAACTAAAACAGTTAATTCCCAAACGGGGCAGAGTACTACATGGCCAAATTCAAAGAGTCAGACAAAAAAAAGAATCTCCCTTGATTTGGGTCAAAATTGAGTAAAACTCATTTTGTAATGAGTTTGGGTAAGAGAGAGAGAGAGAGAGATTTTTGCTCAAAATGAGATTTTTATCATTTTGTAATGAGTTGGGTAAAAATATCTCCTTGATTTGGGTCAAAATTGAGTCAAACTCATTTCGTAATGAGTTTGGGTAAAGGGGAGAGAGATTTTTACTCAAATTTAAATTTGATATGAGGAAAGGGTAAGGATTAGAGATGCCCTTGGGAAGGTAAGTTAAGAATATTCTCAATCAAATCTCTTCATCCTTCCAAATTCCAATCAATCAAAGACCTAGTATTCACAAAAGAGTCAGAGTTAACTTAACACACGGCCCAGTATAAGAGGGAACACAGCCATTGTCGGTTTGGGAGATTGCAATAACAGTGATAGTGCAATGCATCTATTTGAATGTGATGTATGACAATTGAATCAAAATTTTCACCCCATAGATCAACAGAAAGGTAAAAACAAAACAATTTAACTTTTGACAATAAATTCAAGTAAAAAAAAAAAAAAAACAGCACAGGGCATCAACGAAACAGGAACAAGCAAGCGAATGCAAATTCACAAAAATTCCAACTATTTTTTGGTTTAACTGATGCGGAAAACAAATGTGGGGCATATAAGCAGTGACAATTAAGCAAGTAGCGATTGAGCAATCGATTCAAATAGAACTAAATCGATGTGATGTGAGATTTCATTTTGTCGGCGCAAATGAGAGAGAAAACGGACCGTGATGGGAGTAGAGGTAGGCGTTCCTCCACGTGTAGATGTGATCGCCTGGCTTGAGTTCGTCCTTGCTGATCTTGTTGGACAGCACTCCCACCATATCTCTCTCTCTCTCGGTGTGTGTGAGTGTGTTTGTTTTACAGAGAGAAATGAAGAATGTAGTTGTAACAATGGCGATGGATGTATGTTTGCGTAGGAACTACGGGTTCGGTTTGTTGTGGGAGCATCCAGTTGCGTGTGTTGTCCGTGTTGCAAACCAATTCGGAATAGGGTTTTGGACACGGAAGGTAAGGAAAGAGCATCTTCAGAGTAATTTCTCTCGTGTGGTTAATTCTTCTTATGTTTTTTTGGGATAAAATATAATTTTTTTTTTTTCTATTCCTAACAAATTCTTCAAATTGTTAAAATATTTTTTCAAATGACAATATTGGTCATTTTTATGCAATTTATGAAATTGTTTGTTATTATTATTGTTGTTTTAAAAATATATTAAATAAATTATATTTTTTAATAATTGTTTAAATTTAGAGTATTAACAAAATTCAATTATTGGTGACAAATTTTGTTCCGTGACCAATACCACTTTTTGTTGTAGTTGAGTCAAAATTTAAGTAGAGCTAAACTCAACTTGAATAAGTTCCTAAATAAAATGATTTATACTTTTTAAAATTTCTTAATAATATATCACTTATCTTATGATTATTTTGTCTATTAGACTTGACTTGTTTGTAGCCCTACTCCCACACCAAAATATGTCCAACTCACACCAATATATAGGTGTGAATGCAGTGTGTAGCATTACGTTAGTCGTTCGAGAAAAAAAAATATATTGAAGTATTTAAGAATGATTTTTAAATTTTTTATGGAAAGACATACTCCTACAAAAAAAAATGGAGAGAATGAAAAATAAATATTTAACTTTTTGTATGACTTTTTAACTTTTTTATTAATTTAGTCAATTCCTATCTATCAAAAAAAACTTACTTAGTTACCCTAATAGGAAAATTTAGTCAAAACCATTCTATTGGACTCTTGTTTAGTGAAAAGGACAGTCCAATTTATTTTTCTTCATAAACCCCTAAGGAGAAAACACATAATTGAGAGAGAATAAAGTAAAATATCTTCTTTTTTTTATCTTTCTTGGACAATATTGCTAGAGCAACATATTCTGTGAAGTAGAGTAACATGTTACTGTCAAATAGAGTAACATATTACTGTCAAATACAGTAATTGTCAAAAAGAGTAATATGTTACTGTCAAATAGAGTAACATGTTACTGTTACTGTTTACATTAATTTCAACGATAATAAAAAAAATTAAAGAATTTCATAGTCAATATAGATCTTATTAATAGATTTTGATGAGAGAATTCCAAAAATATTAATTTTATTAAAAATCGACATATACATCAAAAGTTATATTATTTTTAAGTTAATATTTTGATAATAGTGATATTTGTTAAAATTTTTAAGAATTTTTTTTTATATTTATCCTTAATACATTGATTTTGGCTAAATCCCCCTATCAACTATACTCTAATTGATCCTCACAACAAGATAGAGCTCCATACATATATAGATAAGCACTGAGAACAACAATATACGGAATTTTTGGGATTGAAACAAATAATATGTACAGACATATATTGATAAAAAAAAAACAATATTATATATTTGATAAAAAACCACAGCCAAATCCTAGTTGCTCTTCTTACTCAGTCCACACATAAATACACAAATCATACATATATTACATATCTTCTTCAAAACCTCACAAAATATTCATATGATCCCTTTGTTTAGAGCTTAAAAATGAAGCCAACATACAATGAATCTGAAGCTATTTAAGAAGATTGGTTTCCTTTTACTCATCTTGGAGCACCACAACAAAGACTTATGGGGCAACTCTGATGTCTTATTGATCTGCACACCTCCTTTGGAGTGTTTTGCCTTTGTTTTCTCACGCTCTATTTGTTGCAGGTTTTTTGTTTTGGTTTTGATTGGTTCCATGCCAATCTCTTGGATGGGTGTTTGCATATGATTGCTCACTCTTCGATGCCAACCTAGTTGGGATTGGAATGTTTTTCTATGATACTCTTTATAAATAAAGCTTAGCTCATAATGTCCTTGTTTTTTACCCTATAAAAAGTAGTTCAATCAAAATTATTTACTGTCCAAGATGGTATTGCAATACACAACATCTCAATTATTGATTGGTGTAGGCCTCATTGTATGCCATGTGCCACACCCAAACAACTTGACACATAATATTTCCTATGTTTCGTGCTTCTTTTTCTGTTTCAATAATTATGTTCACGACATTGGAGAACTTGTTTTTCATAAATCTCCTATGATCATACTTCTGTGTGTTTCTTTGATGTGTCACACTTGATATTGAAACTTAAAATTCCATGATTTCAATTAAAATGTAAACCTTGGATTTCATGTTGTAAAACTCAGCTTTCACTTCTTTCTTTGTTTTGTGAAACATAAAATTGAATCTATAAAGCTCCTTTCAAGAATATCTGCAAGAATATCTGCATATATGGAATTTAAATTAAAATCAAACTAATTTTGATTCTCAAACATAAATTAGAATTTATTTATAAATTTGTCCAAATTTAAATTTAATTCATTTTCTTTATATCAAGTCCAATTTCAAACCTACAAATTTAAAATCATGAATTGAACTTCCAAGGCTCTTGAAAATTTATGATGCCTGTACAATTAAAACTCAATTTCATGTTAAGACAACTAAATTCAAACCCAAAGTGATTAATCTCTAAATTAATTTTCATAAATTTGAACCTAAACTCCACTGCATGGATCAAATCTTCAAATAAATCTTGTTGCATGTAATTTATGAGACTCAATTCAAGAATAATTCTCACACTTGATATTGAAACTTTACCGCCACATAGTACTAAATATACCAAGCAAATCACATGTACTGTGAAAATAACTAGCAATATACACATTCTTTGCTGCATGTTTAAGTCTGCCTTTGAGTTTCCATTGTAAGGTCCATATACTTCCTTCATGCTCTCTATTATAGTTCCAAGGTTTATCACATTCATTTCACTTTCATTATTCTATATAAACTAGATAATTTTTCTTGAAATCATTTTCCATGTTTCTCATGCCTGTTTCACATTTTGGAACCGAGCCGTTTTCATACCCGCGATCTATGTCATTGCCCTTTAGGTGCTTTGGTGGAACATGCTTGCGCTCTCATTCGAAGTCCTTATAAAGAATCACAATGCAGGAATCAAGAGAAGCCTCTTAACTTCTTACAAACCACATATGGCTGTGGTGGCTGATGTTTAGTGCCATTATTTTTCTTTTCTTTTCTTTTCCTCTTGTGTTTTTGCTATCTATAATTTTTACCCTTTTTTCAATGACTTGACTTGACTTAAGGAAATAAATATTTTGTGATGTGTGTTTTTTCCCAATTGTTCGCTTCCTAGAAAGACTTTGTCCATAACCTCTGTTTGGAAACTCACATGTGTGTTGAATTTTTTTTTTTTTCCTTCCATTTTTATATTATCTTTCCTCTTTATTTGGGTACTTTATTATTGTCATGTCCACTGTTAAAAATAAGATAAAACAGTTTTTATTTTTTAAAATTTTGATAAGCAACAAAAAGGAAATTTTGGTAAAACAACAGCGTTTGAACAATTGCCCATCAAGAAAACAACAAAAGAAACAAACCATAATGTCACCATCGGGCTCTTAATAATTCACTCTTATTGGCACAGATTTCTTGTCTTTCATATTTTAAATGTGATATTGGCCATGTTTGGTAGGGCTTATTTTCAACTTATTTCAGTTTTTAACTTAATTTAAACTATTTTGATATGTTTGGTTCAGCTTAACAATACAGTTTATAGCTTTTTGTAAGTCAAAAATCAATTTATTCTTTGAGTGGGGAGGTGAATCTTAATTTATAAGTCAAAAATCAACTTATATTTACAAATATAAGTTATAAACTATTAAATTATATATTATAATCATTTTCTCACAATTCTACCAAACAAGACCGTTGGCCTGGTCTGAATACTTCATATATTTTGTATTATGTTGTTGTCTTTCACCTCAGAATCATGTTCACTATGGTTGCCTAATCAGATTGCTATGACATTTTGTCTTTGTTATTTGAATCCTCTGTAGTGCACTTCCGTAATTTGCTCTGTACTTGCTGACAGTGCAGTCGTAAACTACTAAAAATATGCCTCTTTTTTTTTTTTTTTGGCAGTTCAATATCACATTTTTCATATATTTTCTCGTAATCTAGTTGGATGTACAAGTGTTTTTATTCAAATTTTTTTATTTACTATTAAAAAAACACATTGATCAATGAATTTATTTTCTCATATTCCTATTTTTTGTATGCATGAAGTTTTGGTTATTAGGAGTTTAAGTTGTTAATTAATGTTGCATGAATTTAATGAGGAAGGTACAGATAAATGTTACTCTTTCTTCTTTTTCTTTTTCTTTTTCAAGACAATAAGTCATAAAAAAAACTGCTAAGTTCCAGATGAATAATGCTAGGAATTATAAAAAAAATATCATGAAAATAATTATGAAATATTCTCCACCTTTAGATTATACATACAATAAAACACCACACACCAATCAAATGATAAAAAATCTTCATAATACATTTTGAGAGGGTAATTTTTGGGAAAAATTGGGCCGAGTTTCGAGTTTGGCTTTGGGGCCCAAAACGCAAAGGACTAAGTAAAAAGGCCGTAATGGATACTCCGGCCCAAGGAGGTGAGATTACTCCGGCTCAAGAAGAGATAGTTGCGTCGGCCCAAGGAAGAGTAAAGCTACTCCGGTCCAGAGGCAACTCGGAGTTAGGCCAGTCTCAGAGTTAGTCCGGTCGCAGTATGTTCTGGGAAGGCCGGTTTCGGAATTAGTCCAGCCGTGACTTACAATGGTTAGGTCGGTCAGAACTTGTTACTTGGAAGTTTGATCTAAGCACACCAAGGTTGAACAGGGGCAGCCGAAGTAAGGAGTTAGAGGAGAAGACCGAGCTAAGGATAGTTCGGCCCTCTGTGGCTCGGTATGGCCAATTTTACTTCGGTCAAATGGAAGTTCGGCCATAAAGAAAACCATCCCACTTGGTTTAAGCAGTGGGGGAGGGTGTAAAAGGATAAGCATTATCCTTAGGAGAATGAATCCTAGGAGGACTCTGCATGGAGAAGTACAAGTCCTACTAGGATTGTGCCACGGAAAACTTATAAAAGCCCACAAGCATCACCTTGGAGGAGGT